GATTAATGATTATTTCTTCTGTGTAAACGATTTGCAGACGAACCTGCAAGTACCTCAATCAGATATGATTGTAACTACGATGCAAAACCAGTCTGGAAAATGTGAAACACTTATGGGATGATGTATACTATAATATGATTTATTGATTTCCTATATAATACTATATAGGAAATTAAAATTAAATTTCTATTCATGATAGAAAAATAAAACAATCTGTCAGAGGTTATCGTAAACACTAAGATCTCAAGAATATATAATATATATGTGCAAAGTGGTAAATTATCTAAAGTTGTAAATTATATTATCGCATATTTTTGATTGGCAACAAATATTTTCCATTCTTAATGTTAAGCTTTATTTTATAGGCTATTATTGAAATTATATGAAAGAAAATCCATTAATAATATTATGTATTTTTAGTTTTATTATCAATTAAAATAATAATTAAAGATTGATTAAACGAGGTGTAAATTGCAAAATTGTAGCCGTAATGCAGCAGCATTTGATAGCATTGGTAGATAAAGTCAATTGAGACAGGGAAGGAAATTTAAATTGTGAATGGAGTAATTAGAAAAGCCTTAGCAGTAGCATGATAAAGGCTTAAATCAGCTGCAATAGTAGTGGCAACATAAGTATAGCCAATCAATCTTCACTTGAGGATATCGATGTAACAGACAGGGACGAATAATGCTATTACCAAAATAGTTTAACTAATCATAGCTTAATTGAAATACCGCCATCGTTCATGCCAATTCAGAGATTGTTTCAAGATGAAATTGAAATCGCATATGATGTATATAAAAAATCACTTTCCTTCTAAACAAATAACAAACTGACGACAGGCTATTTAGTGTTTCACAATGAAATCATCAAAACAAAAGTGTTACTACAAACAGCTATCATGAATACTAAAGAGTAAGGCATGCGAAGATTGCTACTGATAACCTCCCACTTTCCATTATTGGAGATATATGTTTTGTGATACAGGGATAAGAGTTATATATGACATTTTGACATGCAAATGTACGCAATATAAAAAATGAATTCTCTTATTAAAATGCAAAATATAACAAATTTACAAAATACACATGTAGATATCTTTTTATTTACAAAGTGTGAATTAAATACTAAATCTATTTCATCTTGCTTCAGGCGAACGAACGGATAATTTGTAATTTATTCAAAAAACTAAAAGCTCGAATGGATCTTTCCACATTTTCATAATTATTTCATAATAGTTTAATGTTCCAAAATATTAACAAAATAAAACAATTGTAAACTGTAATCGCAACAAACATTTAAAAGAATATTTTTATAGACATTAAACACCCATGAACATAAATTGAGCAAATGCGTAAATACCAGTGAAGACGAGATAAAGCGATTCATTTCACTAATTTACGCAAATTGCGATAATAAAAAATGACCTTCACAGATATCAATTGGAGTAAAAGAATTCAAAATCAAGAAAAGCATTAAACTGATTTCACCGGTCAGTTGCTGCGCTTAAACGAGATGCACTCAATGAACGACGCCTTAAAACTGTATTACGATTCCGTTGTAAGTCAATTGGCAGTGTTGACAACGCAGTCCTTGATTTTGAATTCTTTATTTTCGGTCGTTCCTCACCAGATCGGTTATTAGACCGCTGTAGCATTCGCGTCATCCTGTGAGCAGTACCTACAAACATAAATTTTATTCCAATTCACTTCACAAATGATTATCCAGGTAGCTTACTATAGTTTTTGTTGAATAATTAAATTATCACCAGCAAAGCAGCAAAATATTTAAATGAATATGATGTATTCAAACTTACCAGCTGGTTCTATTGTAGTCATAAAGGTATGGATTCGGTAACCACCGAGCCAAAATAGAAATGCCACTGTAAGGAAAAAGAAAGCTAATATTTTCACGACAATGAAGTGCAACGGAGAGTCACGGAGAAATTCATTGAAAAAGATATTAAGATGACGTCCAAATACACCAAGAGAAGTGAATATGAAATTTGACAAAACCTCGCAAATCACCTCAAGTGGTGAAATTTCATATATAGGGTTAACATACAGGTCCTGAAAACTTGAACGCTTACGAAACTGATCAAACGAGAAATAGCGAATAGTACTTAGCTTAATTCGCCCCTCTTTGGAAAATTGATGGATCTGCAATAAAATCGTCCAATTTTTACCATTCTTTTCTTACTACCATCAATTTTCCACTTTTTTCCTTGCATATTCCCAAGACATCCATTTTCTACTTCATATCCAGCACGAACCATGCAAGACGAATGGAATAGTAATTATGGGTGCTCGGGGCGCAGTATTTACATTACCAGTCTAGTCAATATATTTTTCGTCCACATCAATATGTAACGGAATTTAGAAAAAACTAATACCTTGTAATGCTGTTCACATTCGCTTTCTCCTTTTAAGACGAATAATCCTGAAATCATATTCATAGCAGTGGATAAAAAACTATCTGCTTTACATTTCTCAGCGAGTGATTTTTCGGCACGTGACATCCTAGCTGCAATATTGGCCTGCAAAAAGCTTTAAATTCAATCAGTAACAATAGCAAAAACAGTCATGAATTAATGGAATCTTTATCTTTTTAAAAGAAGGATTTCAATATTTTCGAATATTCTATATCTGCTACCAAACCCTTTCAGTTCTACACCATTTAGAAATGATATAAATCCTTTAAAACCTAATCTACATATCATATTGATGTAGTAAGAAACATCGGTTAACCTTATAATTTATTACGACATCTATTAATTGCAAATCTTGAATAAACAAAAAATTTAAATGATGAGATGAAAAGCAGAAATAACTGATTACTTTTCGAAAGCTATTACTGTATGCTAATATTTAGTGAAAGTAGGAAGTAACCTTATTAAAATACGCACTGCATTCATTAATTATAAACTTTTTTGCACTTGTCATACAAAACTATATTCTCACCTGATATTTCTTGTGAAAAGTATTAAACACTGATATAACGAATGATATGAAGAAAAAAAGCCAAATAAAAGAACGTATGGAGAAGCGGCTACGGTAGAGAATTATCAGAGCTGGCGCCAATAATACAGCATTCAGCAGAGGTAAAAAAGTAGCGATCATATCGAGAGCGCGCTTTACAAATGATATATCATCATAGTGCTGCTGAAATGAGTACAGATTCCTCTTTTTCATTTGTCATTAAAAAAGTAGACGATTTTCATATGCTTACTTTTGTCAATAATATTTCAGGCTTTATTTCAAAGGTGTAACTTTTTTGATTTTATCAAAACATATGCAATACTCCGTTTAATTTGAAAATCGGTAGAACTCTGAAAATACATAACTAAAAAACAACTCGATAAAAACTTAGATCTGAACATTAGCAACTAAGATTTTTATCTTACCGGAACAATCATTCCTTCCAGAACTTCCCGAACTTGTTCGCGCATTGTGACTGTTTCATCTTTAGAGTTCAAATACTTCTTCAGCACAGCCAAACTATCAGCATTTAAATATACTTCTACAGTCCGGTCAACGCGATTTGTCTGTAAATCAAAGAATTACACTGAGTCTTTAAAAAATGCTGTAAATCTGAAATAACTCCAATTAATCTAAATAATATTCTCTTCTAAGCAGATTCGTCATTTTGTTCCCATTCCTGAAATAACGTAGTCGATTTTTTTAAAATTATGCTTAAAGCAAATTTCAGAAGTTAGAATTCCTTGTTTAAGAAGAAAGTAAAATCTGTTCGTTCAAATAAATAAAATCGCCCGAAGGAAAATCATAATCTGAAGAATTCATTAAAATTACCTACCTTATCAATGTCAACATCCATACGATACAAGAAATTCCGTATAATAAGTTTCAGCGTTGAATCATGCACATAATAATTTTCAACATGACCTTCAACTGAAATTTTTGAATAACCGTTTAGAAGATCATTAAAATTAAAATAAAGAGACAGAAAATACAACAAACATATCCTAAAACTTCGTTTTTTTTAATTTCAACGAAACTAAACGTTAAAAAAAAGAAGATTAATCAATTTTGCAATATCATATTTTTGGGTAGCGATGGCGACAATTCTGAGTAATAATAAGTCAATTTCAATTTCCTTCATAATGTAAACTTCAAAGTTCGCCATTCATCAAAAGAAATGTCTTGATCCTTCGGCAAATGAACAAGAAAATTACCCTTAAAGTGCACTAATTAGAGTAAATGCTCAGTGCTTGAATAAAGCAATCTCATCTTGTCATATTATTTTCCAGCAGTAACAATTTTTAAAACAAGAGGAAATCAGTTAAATTTAACACAGCCTTTTTTGGAGAGGAAAAGAAAGCCTGGAAGCTGTGTTTTCAAATTCTTTCTGTCCACTGCTGACCAGGTAATGACAAAGCTCACATACTTTGCTACCTTTCAAACATTTCTTCAGATTTGCTTGACAGATTGCTAATTGATCTAGGGTGTTTTTCGTGCAGAATGACGATGACGCAAGAGGATCATTCGGATCAAGCCAATTTGCACGATCAACGTGTAGATTCAAATCGATATTTTCACCATTACAACCAAAAAGCAAATCCCAGCATATCATAAAGAGTAACATGGTTATGCTACTGCCTGAAAATAAAGAATGTATGAGACCGATGTCTCTCTGCCATTAGTATATAGCTAAATAGAGATACGGAAATTCATAAGTACCAAAAAAGGTAATAGAACACAAGCTCCTGCTTGACCTCAGAAATACATACAGGTCAAGATTGGGAATATTAAGCTAACCTTTATCAAAAATGCTCAAAGGTCTGTTCGTTCCGAAAACCAGTATTACTCTTGCAGCCCTCTATTCAACATAACTTCATCGATTCCCATTAGCGATAATGTAAGAAGTGTGGGATTGCTGTTCGACACTTATATAATTGAAAATAGCGGTGATGCTATTAAAACTTAATTAGATACGTGAAGTGATAATTTGTTATTCATTCTAAAAATTTACGAGACCTAGAGAAATCTAGTAGACCTACGAGAAATCTCTGAGATCTAGGAGAAATCTACGAGATCTAGGATGAATCTACGAGATCTACAAGAAATCTGCGAGACCTACGAGAAATCTACGAGATCTAAGGGAAATCTACGAGATACCTGCGAGATCTACGGGAAATCTTCGAGATATCTACAAAATCTACAGGAGATCTACAAGAAATCTACGAGGTATCTACGAGATTTACGAGAAATCTACGAGATCTAGAGGAAATCTACGAGATATCTGCGAGATCTACGAGAAATCTACGAAATCTACGAGAGATCTACAAGAAATCTACGAGACCTGCGAGATATCTACAAGAACTACGAGATCTACAAAAATTCTACGAGATCTACGAGAATCACGAGATATCTACGAGACCTACGAGAAATCTACGAGATCTGCGAGAAATCTACCAGTTATTTCCAAATGAAGTAGTCATTCTTAAAGATAAGAAGAAATCTTTGTATAGAATTAATTAATGTAGTAAAAATTAAAATAATGAAAGCAAAAAGAAACAAAGAAATGAAATAATTAATAGATGTACTCTTAACATTATAGAATCAATGAACTTCAATACAACATTCTTTCTTATTTTGTACTTTAAAATAGAACGATCTGATAAGATTCTTTATAATCTTATTAGATTTGAGTAATTTTATTAGATTGCTAATTGAATTGTTAACATATCTGAGTTATCATATCAGATTGTTTATCAAATTGTTGACATATCTGAGTAATCTTATCAGATTATTAATGAAATTAATGAAACAAGGATTCCTATCATGGCAATCTTTTCTGATTCATTTGTAAAAAGCCATAAATAGAATGAATGGAATTTAATGATGCTAACATTTTTCTTGATTTATGAATTGCTTGAAATAAAATTAAGCAGCTGTAAGGAAGCAATCTTGAATAGTATCATTTTCATAAATTTCATTCAATTTGAATTGATAGAAATATCCTTATAATTTTTTTAAAATTATCCTAAGCATGCTTCATGTAGTTATCTATTAGAAACCAATAATAATCAATTTTCTTTCTTTCGCTTCCTACAATTCTCAAAATGAGCTCTTCTTTCTGAATCCTTTAACAGTAATTGTAAAGGAAGCATTTTAATTTTTCGTATAAAAAACGATTATTCTCCTGGAAGTATTAATTATAACATCGAATAGGAAGAGAGAAATAGTCAATTTGAAAAAAGTAAATTTGAAGAAAAGTGAAATTTCTTTAAGTATTATAAAATCAGATTTATTATTTGATGATCAATTCCCTTCACTAATTAATATTCATGAATTCCATTTGAAAATTAAAATGATTTTTTTGAACATCAACATGATACAGCGTATCATACGTTATGAATTTCATTTGAAAATTAAAATGATTTTTTTCAACATCAACATGATACAGCGTATCATACGTTATGAATTTCATTTGAAAATTAAAATGATTTTTTTCAACATCAACATGATACAGCGTATCATACGTTATGAATTTCAT